ATTACTTGGTATCATATCTGCATAATCGATGCAATTAGCAGAATGCACTGGACAAGCGCTGACACAACTATTTTAAAATAAAACATAATTAATATCACACTATCGACATGTTGAAAAATCAGTACATACTGCACAATTTTCTTAACAATTACCACTATCAATTGTTATATTTCTGAATCCCCATGTTGAAGTGGCTTATGTTAACTATACTCCTTTTAAAATGAGTTTAGGAGTAACATAGTAAGTTCGAAGAATTGCTTCTATTCTAATTAGATCATAAGTATTAGTGCAAGTAATACTTGTACTTTAAATTTTTTTAACATTATTAAAACTATAATTAGATGAGGTCTTGATAATTTCCCCTTATACTTAATCATCCAATATTATTTAAATTCTATTATCAATTAAAAAGCCCTTTATATAAAATGTAATCCTTAGCCTAATAAATTTTAATGATTGTGAATTTGCAAATTATAAACTCATTCCCTCATTAAAAACTAAACTTCCTACATAGAAATTATTGGAACATAAGAAAATCAATTATGTAGAACTTCTTAAATTTACAGTATCCTAAATAAATTAAAAAGGTAAATAACCGAAGAAATATATAGAATCAAAATATGAAATATTTGATCTAATTCTTCTATCTGGAACACAAATATTATCTGATCTTGCTATATAATAATCTCTTTCACATTCTTATCTGCATCCAATCCCAGTTTAAGCAAATTAATGAGAAGGGTTACAAATACAAGATCCGCCTGATGAAAGAGTACCGTAATAACATGTTAGACAACTAGTCGAACTTGAACATGTTTTGCAAGTTGGTAAACAATATTTGACGTAGACAAATAAATTTCTAACCCCGATTTATTGATTGTCATCTTCTGCTTCAATACCTATTGAAATATTAAACTTTTCTTTATATAATGCAGGAGATGTACCTACATATGTCATGAAATCAAAATATTATGTTGTTGAACTATTGCATATTTATCTTGCATTCTGAGTTAAATCAGAGTTGAAATAGTTTCTTTATTGTAAAATATCTTTTGTAGATGAACTTTGGGTCAAGTTCAATGTGAAGTAAGCTTATTTATCAGAAGGACTTCCAGCATTATCAAAGAAAATATCAACTATTACCTCTGATTAGTAACTTTTTTAATTAAAAATCTTATCTATTCTTTAATTGTCTTTCTTAAGACGTGCATACCTTATGAAATTTTATACACAAGTATAATATTAATGATTAGCACCAGATTCAAAAATGTTGCATGTTTTTGAAATTTGCCAATCATTATTAGATGTAAATCCTTTCAAAAAATTTGAGTCTACCATTACCCAATCCCCTTGGGCTAGCCAAACATAAATTGCTGACACAATCAATAGCATAAATTTAATTAAATTTAATTTAATATTAATATATTTATTAAAATAAAATTAGTTATAAATAGAAAATTCGGGCCAAAAGTTAAATCTGATAGATTAACAATATAATTTTAGCTCTTTATATGTCTATAAAATTCTATTTTCAAAGAGTTTTTTTCAAAAATGGTATCCCTTTTTTTATGTTTTACACCTCTAACGACTGTTAATGTAATCCTACCTTTGAAATTAAAAAAATAGGTAATTATTTTTTTTTACTTTATTAATTCACCTTTATAGTTCGATTATTAAAGAGTTGCAATTAGACGAAATATTTGAAATTATTGTTTGCTTATTAATTATAAAAAAAATCAACAATTGTAAAATTTATAAAATCTCATATGAATAGAAAATTAAGTATATATAATTCCTAGCTCATTAAGATTGATATAATAAGAATTGTTGCGATGACTATTCAATCTAAATATAATTCTTCTTCTAAAATATATACGATTATAAGAATAGCTTGGAAAAAGCTGTGTAGATATAATTTCAAATAAGGAAAGTAATTTAAATCCTATTAGATAATAGATTTAACAAATTATATTTACAAATCCTTAATTAATTTATTCTTAAATAATTATGAATCTTCTTATCTACTTTTAGAGAATTTGTAAGTTAACCTTCAATAAACATATTATAGTTCTAGTTCAAATCAAACTTTTATTTCTCATTAATTTTCTGATATTTATTATTTTTTGCAATAGTTTATTTTATACTCTAATAATTATTCTTAATATTAAATATACTAAAATTTTTGAACTTATTCATATTTCATATTGCTCAATTATTGTTATTATTAATTCAAATATTAGATATAAATTAAAGATCTCTTTTATAAATCCTATTATAATCTTTTTTCAAGAAACCAAAATAATTAGAAATATTTGGTATTTATTGGAATTATTTTAATTATGGCTCTGTATTCAATCTAATAAAAATGTTATTGCTTATAAAAAGAATGCCATATAGTATTAGTAGTATAAGAAAAAGTCAATTTTCTTCTCCACTTTTAATAAATACGAATCATGTTTGTAAAGAATGAAAAATACTTTACAATCTTTTTAACTACCTAAGACTTCATTTAACATAAATAAAAATCAATTAAATAATATTTTATTGCTGTTTGCTAAAGCAATTCTTTAATATATTAACCTTCTCTTAATGTAAATTTACTTATGTATTTTCATTGAAAACTTATAAAAAAAAGTCTTCAAATATAGTGAATTATAATGTTTCAGATCTTTAAGATTTTATCTTAATTATTTTGATAAACAAGTTGAATTTGAAAGTTTTCCTTCTGTTCCATAAATTAGTATATCTTATTTAAAAAAAACAAATAATTAAAAACTTAATATAAACTCAGAGCACTAAAATATGAATCCAATAAAATTTTTAGATACTATTAGATTTGGCAAAGGTCCTATTAGAAATTTAAGTGCATCCTCATAAATCTACTTTAATTTTTATTTCATCATTATTCATTTTGTATTTATACGATATTTTTTTTAATTTAATATGTTTCTTATTTTGGATTCTTTCAATTAAGCTTCCAAATAATCTTTATTATTAATCAAACTACTTAATAATATTTATTTCAACAGAATATGAGATTACTAAAAAATATTTATTTTATATAAGCATAAATTATTTTTTAATATTATTAAATTTAAATCAATGATCCAAGGGAATGATTGCTATTATACTAGCCGAAAAGAAGGAATAAAGCAAATTAAGATAACTGTAGTATGTGTTTTTTATAATGATTTCAAAAATTAGACAAAAGAGATAAATTTGTTTATATAAAATTAATCTAAGAATAATTATTTAACTCGATAGGAGACTCCATGTTGTAAATGAGTTTGAATTTTATGGTTATTTTTATTGACATTTTAAAGTATTTATCATACTTAAGTTTTTTGATTAGATTGGAAAATATGTAAAATTATTATGTAGAATCATATATAATATAATTTTACCATATAGTCTCTAATTTAAAATCTGAAAAAAATAAAGAATTTTTTTCAATATTGACAACAGAGAAGATAAATTTATAAGCTAATTAAAACTCTTGATAGTAATATTGTTTTCTCAATTTATTTAATATAATATGAGAATTACTAAATTGATATTATATAAAATAGATAATTTCATGTTTTAATAATATTTATATGATTATTATCATTTCTGAGATTATTCATTTACATTACATAAAAAATCAATTAGATCCTTTAGAATGCACTCTAAGCTAATTTATTAAGTAAATTATATTTATATGATAATTTTTTAGACGGATTAAATCTATTTATATTAATAAAAGTTAATCGAAATTGGATTTGAAATCAATGGTTTGGTAGTTCATATTTTCATTGATGTTGCTGCTTTTTTATATCATCAAATATGAAAAATTATGATGATAATAAATAAGAATACCTTTAATTTATATATTTTGTTTTTTTCCTCAACTACATACTTTTTATTAATCATTGAATATCTTTTTTTAATTCTTGTTGAATAAACTAATATAATTTTCCAAAATGATATGAATTTTCTAGTCAAAAATGACTTTATTTTCAAAATTAATCAAACTAATTTCCATATTTAATCAATAATTAACTTGATAGTATAACATTAATCAAACTATATATATTTATCACTATTCATATGAAAAGACAATTAGTAATTGTTGGTAATTTTATGAAGATTGCGTTTATATTAATTTGTTTGTTGAAAGAATATTCTACATCATTATATGTGATTATATAAAAAATGATGAATAATTATTCATCATCTTATATTCTAAATTTGAATGTAAAATATTTTCCCTATCTAATAACTGTATATTAATTCTAAAATTATTCTACAACCTCAAATGCATAACATTAAATAAATTTAATTTATTATAAATAGCTCAAAATTATTTTATGAAAGAAATTTTGTAAATAAATCCCTGTTAAAGTTATTCTTAATCTTAAAAAAAAACTTTCTGTACTTTTAGAATAATTGTAATACAAATAACTTTGATAAATAAATGATATCTAGAATATTGAAAGATGGTAAACTAATTTTAAAAACTCTTTCAATTAAAATTGTGAAATAAAGAAAATTTTATACAATTTTATTTAAAGCTTATCCTTCAAACCATTATTTTTAAAAGTATTCCTTCCAAAGTATATGAATATTTATTTTGAGAAAGGAAGTATTGATACCGATAATTTTGAAATCTAGATAAATAATTATATTTTCATATTTATTGATATTTGAATCTTAGAAAAAGGATAGGAAATCCTTCTATCTACGAAAATCAAAAAGATATAAAAATACATATACTTATAATAAAAATTATACAAGAAAAGTATAGGTGTAAAAATTAGTATTATTAAGTGTAATGAAAAATCTAATTTAATTTATTCTCTAAAATTTATAAGACTTTATTAGATATTTTTTTAATAACCAATTAATAATTGTTTATGCAATGTCATACAAAAATCTTAATTACTATCCTAGTGTAAAAAAAAATCCATTTTTTAAATCCTATTATGATTATAAAAATTAATATTAATTAATTTAATGAGATTTGTAAATTATTTAATTGATTGATATTAATAATTGAAAATCTAATTGAATCATATCTAGCATAATTCAAGTCTAAATTTATTATAATCATAACATGGTAGTTATAAATAAAATTTATTATTATTATTAAACATCTTGTTTAATTACAATTATAATAATTTATTAGGATAAAAATAATATCCAAAAATAAATATGGAATAGTTTAATAATCAATATTTTTATTATTTTTAAGCTTTGAAGACAGATAAAATTTACTTAATATAATAATTATCTTTCATTTTCATGAACAATAACTTTAACAATTATTTGTTAAATTAGAATTCTTAACAACAATACCTAAATCCATAGTCATTTGAAACATAAAATGGAAAACCTTAGATAATGAATTAATTTGAATGTTTATAATTTACTATTTTCTTAGATCAAGGAGAGTTTTAGAATACTATAATAAGAGCTGAATTTATTCAGAATATGTATAGTTTTTTAACAATCGAATTCTTTTTAAATTTGGGAATGATTTCTTTAGGACTTTACACAAGAATGGACCTTTGGCTTGTGCGTTAGAAATATGAATGTTAGGGATATATAAAGGATTGTCTTACACCAACTTGGTTATTCTATGTTTCTTTAATTATTTCATTAATATTGTAATTCACACTATATTTTGGAGGAAACATTGCTAGAAAAGTAATAGTTATAGATATAATCATAGGCTCCTATAAATTACATAGTTTTANTTGAAATCTAGATAAATAATTATATTTTCATATTTATTGATATTTGAATCTTAGAAAAAGGATAGGAAATCCTTCTATCTACGAAAATCAAAAAGATATAAAAATACATATACTTATAATAAAAATTATACAAGAAAAGTATAGGTGTAAAAATTAGTATTATTAAGTGTAATGAAAAATCTAATTTAATTTATTCTCTAAAATTTATAAGACTTTATTAGATATTTTTTTAATAACCAATTAATAATTGTTTATGCAATGTCATACAAAAATCTTAATTACTATCCTAGTGTAAAAAAAAATCCATTTTTTAAATCCTATTATGATTATAAAAATTAATATTAATTAATTTAATGAGATTTGTAAATTATTTAATTGATTGATATTAATAATTGAAAATCTAATTGAATCATATCTAGCATAATTCAAGTCTAAATTTATTATAATCATAACATGGTAGTTATAAATAAAATTTATTATTATTATTAAACATCTTGTTTAATTACAATTATAATAATTTATTAGGATAAAAATAATATCCAAAAATAAATATGGAATAGTTTAATAATCAATATTTTTATTATTTTTAAGCTTTGAAGACAGATAAAATTTACTTAATATAATAATTATCTTTCATTTTCATGAACAATAACTTTAACAATTATTTGTTAAATTAGAATTCTTAACAACAATACCTAAATCCATAGTCATTTGAAACATAAAATGGAAAACCTTAGATAATGAATTAATTTGAATGTTTATAATTTACTATTTTCTTAGATCAAGGAGAGTTTTAGAATACTATAATAAGAGCTGAATTTATTCAGAATATGTATAGTTTTTTAACAATCGAATTCTTTTTAAATTTGGGAATGATTTCTTTAGGACTTTACACAAGAATGGACCTTTGGCTTGTGCGTTAGAAATATGAATGTTAGGGATATATAAAGGATTGTCTTACACCAACTTGGTTATTCTATGTTTCTTTAATTATTTCATTAATATTGTAATTCACACTATATTTTGGAGGAAACATTGCTAGAAAAGTAATAGTTATAGATATAATCATAGGCTCCTATAAATTACATAGTTTTAATATTATATTTAGTTTTCTTTGGATTTACATTTACAACTATATGCATTTTTATGGAATTAAGTCTGAGACAAATGGGTGTTTGGGTAACTTGGGGAATTACTTTTTTAATAATAGCTTCATTTATGATAATAGGTTTCGTAAACAAAAAAGAGGTTTCTGTGAAAAGTACAATTCATTCCATATTTTATAGTGGGGGCTATTATAATTTTTGGTATATCCATACCTTTCACATTATTTTTGATATTCTTTACTTTTGATTATATATGGGAAAAATGTGTATATGGATTAATCATAATCATATATGGATGCTATTTGATGTTAGAAACAAGATTGATTATGAGCAAAGGAGTAAGAATTTATTAATATATAAAAGAGATTAAATTTATAATCTAATGATTATTTAATTGGATCTTTATTGCTATATGGTCTTATGTTGTAACCTTTAGTAAGAATATTTGATATTTTATTAAAAATTTTTGGAAGGAGCAGTTAATGAAGAATATCATCAATAAAATTATATCATGATAATAAAATCATATTCATAATCTATAATTATAATAAATTAAGATTTAAGTTGAGTAAATTTGTTTACTTACAATATATATATATATATTTTATATCTCAAAATTTAGTATTTAGGAAAAAGAGAAATTTTTAATTATTTAAATACAAATAAATAAAATTCTCAAAATTTTTAAAATGAGTTTCTATTATATTTATTTACTAATTTTCAAAATGGCTAATGAAGTTCATTCCTATTTGCATTTTATTCTCATCCTTAACTACCTATTAATTCATCAAGAATTTAACAAAATGTTCACTGATTTTTTTAGATTTTCCTTTCCTAAAATCAAATTATTTTAGGTAGAGACTAAGTTATTACTAATTTGAAGCTACTTTATTAATTATAAAGCAATAGAAATATACTAATATATATATAGATGAATACAGACTGATAAAAAAAATAAGTTGGCCTTATTTCACAACAATGCCACTAAAAGACTGAGGTTCACTAAAATAATAATTTGTGAAAACTAATATTGAAGTCGTATTAAATTAAGATGATAATAGCAAATACTCATCATAAGAACATTTTTAAAGAAAGTAAATAATTTTTTATATTATTTTATTCAAAGGGAAATTCTGATAGATAATTCTATGGATCTTTAGGATTTGAAAAATATACAGAATAAATCTAAAATTCTTATTGGTATGGAGAATATTAAATAATTTGAGAAAAATTAGTAAGTGATTAACCAGTGGGTATGGATACATTCTTTTAGAAGTTGGTGGATAATACTATGATAATTGATTAAAGGAAGGTATATGGAAAGAGACAATTTAAAATTAAAGAAGGTAACATAAAAAAAAAAGAATTTTCAATAGTCATGTATAATTATTTGAGAATGGATTATATAATAGAGGAGGAAATAAGACGAAAACTGGTAGATGGATTGAAATGAGTGAGGATTTTATATAGAATTCCTAAATAATTTATTATGGGGATTATTAAATGATATTAAAGTTGGTGAATGGTTAAAATGAATGTTAATGAGATTGAAAACCTGTTGAACGAATTATTAAATTTGAAATTATTTTAATTTAATATTACTATAATAAATTTTAGTGTACTATTATATCTAATTTATTTATTGGATGTGTGTTAATTAATCTTATATACATTAGTTATCATCCAATAAGATATAATTTGCTTACATACATTTGATAAATTTGTTGAATTAAACTAAATTTAAAGGAAGATTTCTCTTTTAATTTGATTAAATTAAAATTTATGAGAGAAGAGGAAAGTAGTTATAAATATATTATTAACTTTCGAGAATTTATTAGGCAAAAGAAAAACAAATTTAAGAATTTTTATAATGAAAATCTGATAAAGATTGAACATAAGTAACTGATTATGGAAATAAATTCATTCTTTTTAAGATTCCCAATCAAATCTGTTTAATTTCATGTACATTCCTTAAAATATGATGCCATGTTTATGAAATATTATTGTGATTCCTAAATAATATAGATATTAGGTTTTCTATTAAGGATAACAATTAACTTAGTTCGGATATCTTTAATTAAAAAATATTTTTTTATATTCCTTCATCTTTAAATTATCAATTAAATTATAATTTGAACAAACCCATTAATTGGAAATTGACTTCATATGAACAAAATAATTATTAAATCAACCAAATTATTTGAGGTCATTTTTTAAATTTTCATATCTAAAACTATATTTTATAGGATTTAAAATAGCTAAAGATTTTAAGTAAGAAAACACAAAGTAATAATTATTATAGTATTTTTTATATTAAATTAATTAATACTTTTTGAATCAGGCTAAAATAATAATTGTTATTTGAATAATGTTGATAATTTGTTTTATTCACCTTTCAATCTAAGGATATCATCCTTGTGATCCATATTACGCTTATGATCCCTGCATCTCATCTTTCCAAATTTCCACAGGTTGAGAATAGTTAGTTTTTCTTAAAATATCATACTCTTTGTCCTAGTTTTTTTGCTATCTATATTTAAGTTTTTGTGCTCGATTGACTCCAGATCCATCCTCTTTTATTTGATTCCTTCATCTTTTATTCCCATCCCAGTTATTTTCCCATATATTCTTGATTTTAATGAAGAAAATTCTTAAGGAATTTACCATTTATTCCATGTATATTTTGAACATTCTTACTTATATATTCTGTTATATTCACCTTAATTTTATTTGTGCCTTCAAAATAGTTAAAGTTGTCTAACTTTTTTATTCCCATCTCCTCAAGTAATTCTTTTCTCCTATGCTATATAATTAATTGTCTTAATATTAAATATAAGATCTGGTATCTCTTTCTCCTAGTACACTTGTTTCATAACTTTAAATTACACTTTTTAGGTTGTTATCAATTATAAATAAGTAAAATCTAAAAATAGGTTTAACAGGAAGAGACTTAAGAGATATACTTAGGCCAGACCATTCTTAATTATACCCTTTTCGTTTTTATAGGGTATTATAAAAGAGATTAAATTTATAATCTAATGATTATTTAATTGGATCTTTATTGCTATATGGTCTTATGTTGTAACCTTTAGTAAGAATATTTGATATTTTATTAAAAATTTTTGGAAGGAGCAGTTAATGAAGAATATCATCAATAAAATTATATCATGATAATAAAATCATATTAATAATCTATAATTATAATAAATTAAGATTTAAGTTGAGTAAATTTGTTTACTTACAATATATATCTATATTTTGTATCTCAAAATTTAGTATTTAGGAAAAAGAGAAATTTTTAATTATTTAATTACAAATAAATATAATTCTCAAAATTTAATAAATGAGTTTCTATTATATTTACTTATTAATTTTCAAAATGGCTAATGAAGTTCATTCCTATTTGCATTTTATTCTCATCCTTAACTACCTATTAATTCATCAAGAATTTAACAAATGTTCACTGATTTTTTTAGATTTTCCTTTCCTAAAATCAAATTATTTTAGGTAGAGACTAAGTTATTACTAATTTGAAGCTACTTTATTAATTATAAAGCAATAGAAATATATTAAAATTTATTTAGATGAATTCAGACTTATAAAAAAAATAAGTTGGCCTTATTTCACAACAATACCACTAAAAGACTGAGGTTAACTAAAATAATAATTTGTGAAAACTAATATTGAAGTCGTATTAAATGAAGATGATAATAGCAAATACTCATCATAAGAAATATTTTTAAAGAAAGTAAATAATTTTTTATATTATTTTATTCAAAGGGAAATTCTGATAGATAATTCTATGGATCTTTAGGATTTGAAAAATATACAGAATAAATCTAAAATTCTTATTGGTATGGAGAATATTAAATAATTTGAGAAAAATTGGTAAGTGATTAACCAGTGGGTATGGATACATTCTTTTAGAATTTGGTGGATAATACTATGATAATGGATTAAAGGAAGGTATATGGAAAGAGACAATTTAAAATTAAAGAAGGTAACATAAAAGAAAAGAATTTTCAATAGTCATATATAATTATATGAGAATGGATCATACGATAGAGGAGGAAATGGGACTAAAACTGGGAGATAGATTGAAATGAGTGAGGAGTTTATATAGATTTCCTAAATAATTAATTATGGGGATTATTAAAGGATATTAAAGTTGGCGGATGGGTAAAATGAATGTTAATGAGATTGAAAACCTGTTGAACGAACTATTAAATTTGAAATTATTTAATTTAATATTACTATAATAAATTTTAGTGTATTATTATATCTAATTTATTTATTGGATGTGCGTTAATTAATCTTTTATACATTAGTTATCATCCAATAAGATATAATTTGCTTACATATAAATAAAATTAAAAAAATCGCTAGATTGTACATTTGATACATTTGTTGAATTAAATTAAAATTTAAAGGAAGATTTCTCTTTTAATTTGATTAAATTAAAATTTATGAGAGAAGAAATTGGTAAGGAAAGTAGTTATAAATATATTATTAACTTTCGAGAATTTATTAGGCAAAAGAAAAAAAAATTTAAGAATTATTATAATGAAAATCTGATAAAGAATGAACATAAGTAACTGATTATTACAATAAATTCATTCTTTTTAAGATTCCCAATTAAATCTGTTTAATATCATTTACATTCCTTATAATCTGATGTCATGTTTATCAAATATTATTGTGATTCCTAAATAATATAGATATTAGGTTTTCTATTAAGGATAAAAATTAACTTGTAGAAAATAGTTAGTATATCTTTAATTAAAAAATATTTTTTTATATTCCTTCATCTTTAAATTATCAATTAAATTATAATTTGAATAAATCTATTAATTGGAAATCGACTTCTTATGAAAAAATAATTATTAAATCAACCAAATTATTTTAGGTCATTTTTTTAATTTTCATATCTAAAACTATATTTTATAGGAATTAAAATGGCTAACGATTTTAAGGAAGAAAACAAAAATTAATAATTATAATAATTGTTATTTAAATAATGTTGATAATTTGTTTTATTCACCTTTCAATCTAAGGATATCATCCTTGTGATCCATATTATGCTTATGATCCCTGCATCTCATCTGTCCAAATTTCCATAGGTTGAGAATAGTTACTTTTTCTTTAAATATTATACTCTTTGTTATAGTTTGTTTGCTACTTCTATTTAAATTTTTGTGCTCGATTGACTCCAGATCCATCCTCTTTTATTTGATTCCTTCGTCTTTTATTCCCCTACCAGTTATTTTCCCATATATTCTTGATTTTAATGAAGAAAATTCTTAAGGAATTTACCATTCATTCCATGTATATTTTGAACATTCTTACTTACATATTCTGTTATATTCACCTTAATTTTAATTGTGCCTCCAAAATATTTAAAGTTATCTAACTTTTTTATTCCCATCTCCTCAAGTAATTCTTTTCTCCTATGCTATATAATTCATTGTCTTAAAATTAAATATAAG